ATTAAAGACAAAATTAAAAATAATGAATATACAAAGGGAAAAACTAAATCACAACTTAAACAATTGAAAGATTTCAAAAATAAAGTATTAACAGAAGAAGATATTGATGAATTATATAAATTATATAATCCTGAGCCGCAAAAGCCAAAGGAACAAAAGCCAAAGAAGAAAAAGCCGAAAACAACACCAAAAGAGAAAGTAGCAAATGTTCAACAGCTAAAGGTGCAAAACGCCCAGGTCCTTCAGACCATAAATGATGCACAAGCTTTAATTTATGATTCATTAGTTAAACCATATTCAGCCCGACTTTTAAATGAAGATCAACTTTTGGAATTCATCCTTCAACATAAACTCGAAGCGGGAAAGTATATCAAACCTTTATATACAGCATATTTAAAACAAATGAATAGAATACATCCAGAATTAATGAAAGGAAAATCAACAACTAAAACTTCATCATCCAAAATCAAAGCAGATAAAATTAAACCACTTGCAACACCAAAACCTCCAACGGTAGTACCTCCTCCTTCAGTTAATCCTTCATCATTCACTTTATTATATCCATTTCAAACATTAAAGAAGCAAAAAGATTTTAAAAAGGATTTCAAAATATTAAATAAACCAACTGACCCAAAAATTCAACCGTTAAAGGAAAAATTTAGTCGCCCTTCATTTGCACCATATCCATATTCATACGAAATCGATCATTTAGAATATTCAAAAGGAAACGTTACTTATTTATTTGCCATTAACATTAACACCAGATATTTATGTTGCATTCCGGTGAAAGGGAAAACAGAACAGGAAACAAGAAGAGCTATACAATACTTACTAGATCATGAAAGAGTAGATAATATAAGGGGTGATGGTGATAAAGGATTTCAGGCAGCTATGGCTCATTATTTCCCACAAATTAATTTTTACTTTTCATCCTCTCCATATACGTTTCATAATAAAATAGTTGATGCGGTAATGAGAACTCTTAGAGATGCGTTAGGGGTTAACGGTCAGATATACTGGGATGGAAATCATGACTCCATCATACAGCAGTTAGTATATTATTACAATAATACATGGCATAGAACTATAAACATGAAACCAGTGGAAATGAAAAATGATATTTCAAAAGAATGGGAATATATTAGAAAGCAAATGGAAAGGTTAAATGATGTTAAACGTGAACAAATTAATTCGGGGCTCATGAATTTTAAACAAGGGGATAAAGTTTTGATTCATCTCGATTATGGAAAAACCGATAAATCAATGACAAAAAGAAGACGAAGATTTGACACAATAGCTGAATTTGTTAGATATATTAACGGCAATGCATTAGTTGAGGTTAACAATAAATTAATAGAAATTCCGATTTATTTTATTACTCCATTATATTTAAATAATATTTAATTTTTTATTTCGTAAGAAATGAGTGACAACGAAGCATCCAAGAGTCCTGATTCAATTAAGATTCAGAGTCCAGACGATGAATATAAAAAGAAACTAAACAGAATTAAATCAAAAATATGCTATTATAAAAAGAAGCCGCAATGCGGTGGGGCTGAAAACGATAAAGAGAGGAAAGAAATAATCGAAAAATTAGAAACTTACCGTTCAATCCTTAAACTGAGTGAAGCAAAAATAAAAGAATTTAATAGAATAAATAAATTGATTGGAAGAGATGAATTTAATAAAGATGAATTTTTAAACTCAATCCAAATTTAATTTTTTCAGTGCTACCATGTTACCATGTGCTACCATGTCAATTAACTTCTCTTAAAAATGATGACAACATGACATTTTGACAACAACACAGGAAATAAATGTTATCGTTTATGTTTTCATTAATGATTTTAGGTTATTCAATAATTAATTATTTTTGAATAACTGAAGGTGTCACTACATCACCATGTGTCACCAGGTTAATTAACTTCTCTTAAAAATGATGACAACATGACATTTAGACAACACAGCAGGATTAATGCAAAAATAAATTCAAACTTCATCGTATATGCTTTGTGAATGTCTTACAAACACGTATGAATACCTTATGCGGTGGGAAGCCAGATGGAAATAAATTTACGTCAAATATGTAATTTATAAAATCTTATGTCGACAGGCTACGTAGCACAGTGGTCTAAGGTGGTGTTATGGAGGGGTCAGGGTCTGTGGTTCGAACCGCGACAGCGCCGTATTTTCTTATTTTCTTTGTTTGTCTTGTTTGTCGTGAATAAAAAGTGTCATAAAAGTGCTCTATCTTCCACGGGAATAAATAAAAATTTTACTTTATTTCTTCTTTATTTCTTTGTTCCTGTGGAAGAAGGGTTTTGCTGTTTTTTCTCTTTTTTCTCAGCCGAAATCAATGATTTTTTCATTTTTGGAATCCTTAGCGAATGATGAATCTTTTCTCTCGTGGAAGCTTTGACCAAAAATATATTTTAGGTGAAGAGGTGAGAATATATTTTAGGTGAAGAGGTGAGATCTCACCTGTTTTTTCACCTCTTTTTTTCACAAGCGTTTTACATGAATTGTACGATGTATATTTGAAATCCTAAACAATTTCGTAGCTTCTATTTCTTCTTTTAGTACATCGAATGTTTTAATCATGCCGAAAGTCTCTTTATATTTCTTCTTGACGTCAGACAGAAGGAAATCTTCTGCTGTTGGATAGTTTTTATTAAGAAATGTCAACATATCCATTTTATCTTCTGCTGGCTTTTCTGCTTCTTTCTTTAAGTCTGCATAGTCGTTTCGCATTCTTTCTATCTCTTTGACTGAGTAGTTATATTTTCTTATTGCTGCTTTACATTTTGAACATTGCGGCATCGTTTTTGCGTTATACATTGAAATAAAACCAGCTAGAACAACTAAGGCGTCAATGGTTTTCTTTAACTCAAAAGCTGCTGGTTTTATCTGTTCATTCCATACTTTACCTCTTCTATCTTTATCTCTTATCTGCCATACACATTTTGCAACTAATGAAACAAAGTTATCGTATGTCTTAAATTCTTCGGATTTGTAAAGGTCAGAAATATTTTTATAAACCATGTCGCAATCTTTGTCCATAACTTTATGGTTGCAATGAAAACCAAGGAATTCATAATTTACTTTACGTATGAATTTCTTAATTTCTACTGAGTCAGTTGCTTTGACTTCAATTTCGTCGAATTCAGGAATAGTTAGTTTTTGCTGCTGAATTTCAGGTAGTTTAGGCAAATGGTCGATGAGGTCCTCCATTTCATAAAGATACTGTTCATTTGTTTCATCTTTCGCACTACAGTCTAAATTACTTGTTAAAAGTTCTTGCTTTATCTTCTGGATTTCTGTTTCAAAAGTATATGAAGAAGGAATAAAGCTTTTCATCTCTACCAACATTGACGTAGGATTCATGACTAGCGAGTTTGGTGCTGTAGTTGTGGCTTGAATTGTTGTTGTGCCGATTGTTGAAATCATATCTTTTATACAAAATAAAAATAATTTTAAAACTAATTTTAAAACTAACTTTATTTTTTCTATCTTAAGGAAATTCATGAAAATTCATGAAAAAGCTAAAGCAATCTGAGCCGCTAAGCGGTGAGGGTGAAAAAACAGGTGAAAAAACAGGTGAGATCTCACCTCTTCACCTAAAATATATTTTTGGAATTTTGTGAAAACTCAACGGTTTGACACATGCCATATGCCATTTTACTCAGAATTTTGTGCTGAATTCAATAAAAATAAATGGTTAATTTACTCACAATATTTTTGTACAAAACGACCCCAAACTTTTAACTTCTTTTCTGCAGTTTCTAATGCTATCTTAGCGAGTTCATATTCTCTAAATTCTCTCTTTAAATCTTCTTGTTCCCATTGGTCTAGTTCGTATGGAGAATCTCTATAACCATAACATATCTCACGTTCATGTTCTAATTGTTTTTCGCACATTTTTCTAACTTCTTCTTCAAACAAATGTTTAGCATTTTCTACTGTATCTTCGAGTTCTTCTTCATCTAACTTCTCATGAACTTTCTTGTCTATGGAGTCCATAATTTTTCCAACTGCTATGCAATATTTTGGAGAAGCCCACATTGCTACATACGTTCCTCTAACCTGTTTGATTTCATCAGGAATTCCTGCATGAATTTTGTATAAAAAGCAACAGTCCGAATTCCGGCGGTTGCTATATTCTTCACAAAACGCCTTATAATACTCTTCCCAGGACTTATTTTCCAACAACTTTCTAAAGTCTTTCCTAAACTGCTGACACATCTTTGTTGCATTAATGTAACCATCCTTGTCTCTACGTAAGACTTCAATACCATTATAAGTGCCTTTTGTGAATGTTTCGCCATTAGATTTGTTCGTGAACGTCTGTGCTTCGACTGACATTTCTGTTCTTACATACAAAATAAAAAAAATAAAAATAATTCATAAATGCCTTCCTCCTGAACTGTTGTCAAAATGTCATGTTGTCATCATTTTGAAGAGAAGTTAATTAACCTGGTAGCACATGGTAACATGGTAGCAGTGAAATAAAATTTTGTTATCAGTTATTTTATCATTTTATTAAGTTCATCTTTAGTTAATAATTTGAATGGATTCGCTAATGTTCCACCTTGAGTCACAACACTTGCCCCGGCTAATTGTGAAGAACCTGGGATAAGTACTCCATGAAATGATTTCATTGGTATCATTAATTTAGAAATAGTTGGCTTAATTAATTTTGTCATTTATGATAAAAATAAAATTGCATAATTTAAATTTTTTTCTTTCTCATTTTCTCATTTTCTCATTTTCTCATTTTTCATCCTGTTTTGGTTTCAGCAACTTTTCAAGTTGTTGTCTTGTCAGTAACTTTAATTTTAACTTTGGATCAAATATTGGGTTTCCATCTTTATCTCTTCCAATAACACCATATGGTAGAATCTTCATTTATACTAAAATAAAAATTTAAATTATGCTGTTCGCTCTTTTGGAGCTCAGGACTTTCAGTCCGTTCTAAAGTTTGTTTCACAAACATTGAGCGTTCATTGAACTCTATACCATGCGAATACAGTCATAAATGGTGGCATATAATCTTCACCCGAGCCTGTTGGATTTGTTGTGAAAGTGTGGGCATGATTTCCTGTGGTTCCACAGAAAATACCTGTGCTTGAATCTACTGGGTCACTTGAAATATCATATCTATGCATTCCCTGTCTATCCGAACCTGCTGCAAGATTTGTATAACCTCTTTTTGTTATTGAATGTGAATGATTACCTGTTGTGTTTGTAGTTCCCGTATGAGTGTGCGGTGGAAGGTTTGCTTCTTTAATTTTCTTCGAACCTCCCGTTTGCTTTGAAGAGTCAGCACAGTATAAGAATTTGTCTACAATCTGCTTCCACATACCAAAACCCAAAACTGTTTCTGGATTTGTTGAATTCATTGACGTATAAATAGAACCAATGGGGTAAATCATCTCAAGAATTGTATTTAATCCATTATGAATATTGAATTTATTATATAATATTGAATTTGGGTGAGTATTTAAAACTGGTCTTGTTATCAATATTAACGTATTATTTTTGAAAATTGCTTTTCTAACATCTTGAAATTTTGTGATTTCAGACCAGTTTCTCCCATCACTACTGATGTTTACTAAATCACCACATCCTAAAGCAATGAAATACCCATCAATATAAAATAAATATTGTAAATCTATAATTTCGAGTAAGTTTTGGAGTGAATGAATAAACCAATTCCCAATTTGATAATCCTGTGATAAATAAATATGTCTGTTATAACTTACAGGATATGAATAGACCATTTCACCTGAAACGAGAACACAAACATTTGATCCATAACATAAAGCTTCAATGTCTCCATCAGCTTGAAAAATTTGTTCAAATTGACCTTGTGGTATTGAAGATGATCTATAAATTTTATCATTTTGTAGGATAAAATACATGTTGTTAATGTAATACCACTTACTTGTATAATCAATTTCAAAATCTGATGACATCATACTAAACATATAATAATTTATCCCATCCTCACTAATGAAAATTTGATTGACTTCATAAATTAGTACCCATTTATTATTAACGCATCTAATAGGATTATTTGGATATTTAAATTTAGCATCTTGATTTAAATTACATTTGAACCATTGGATACAATCGAATGAATAACAAGGGCAAAAATCATCTCCAACCGTTATCATTCCCATAAATTTACCGTTATTATATTCAACATATAAAATTCTTGGATTAATGATTGGCTTTCGTGTATCAGGATTCCAAACAGATGGAGTAAATGATTCATAGTTTTTAAAATCATTTGTTTTAAAATAATAAAGCACTCCAGCTGTATAAAATAAATACATGGTCACTCCATCGAAACATATCCATTCAAAAGAATCTATATCAAAGGTTTTATCTGATGATTTCATAAAATTTAAAAATGGTGGAGTAAAATAGACCTCTGATTGTTTTATTTCTTCATTAACAAATGATATATCAGCTTTCTTTGCTAACTCAGTATTAATGAATGAAATAACTTTTTCCTTATCTGCTTTCTTCTCTAACTCATCATTAACATAAGTTTTATCTGCTTTAAGGTCTAAACATCCTGAAAACCATTCTGTATCAGCTTTAACTTTAAAAGTCTCCAATGTCCATTCATGATACCATTCAACCTTTTCTTTAATTTCATTATCTTTTTCATCAACATAAACCAAATTTGCCTTCTTATTTAATTCACTATCCACATATTCCTTATCCACCTTCTTCATTATGTCATTTAGGAAACCTTCTATGAATTCCTCATTTAAATTAAATCTTCCAATCTTCAAAACTTTAGGAAATGCATTTAATGCGTAATATCTCTGTTCTTCTGGTGGAATTGATGTTATATCATCCGTTATTCCTTTAATTTTTGAATTCATAAATAAAATTTCTTTTATATTTGATATCACTGCACCACCTTTGCAAACGAATTCGAAATGGTCATTTTTCAATACTATCTCCAAATCTCCATATTTCAACCTTTGCGTTTGTTCTGCCGTCTTTGAATTATATGCATATGTGGCGTATGTAATGGTCTGAAGGACCTGGGCGCTTTGCGCCTTAAGTTGCTGTTGTTTAATCATTTATTACGATTTAAAAATAAATATTTAATCCGTTATCTCATCAGCTATTTTTTCTATTTGAAATTGCCATAATATTTCATTCATAAATTCTAAATCACAATCAAATAGGTCAGTTATTCTAAATTTAATATTTGATAAATCTTTTGAATGAAGAATAAATGAATTCCCGGATAATTGAAACGGATATGATAAAGAAAATGTGTTTAAGTTGATGGATAAAATGTTTTGTATTGATGGGTAAGAGTTAGGGTCTAATGTTTGATGTGAAAATCTCATTGGGGTATTAACTTTATCACATTTGATTAAAATGAAATTGGAACCAGTGTCAGAATACAAAACATCCCCAACATCTTTTTCAAAATTTAATATCCCCAACAATGAACGAAGATGAGGAGTACAAAATTTAATTTTCAGCGGAAATTTAATAAGGTTATTTATTTCATCAAGTTCAAAAAGTTTATCAGGTTTTGATTTAAAATTTTCTTCATACCATACGATAAATGATTCATTTAAATAACTTAAAATCATGTTAATATCCCATTTCGCTATCACATTATTTATATACATATTATACGTTTTTTCATGGTCATCTTTAATAAATGATATATAATCTGAAGGGTCTAAAAGAATGGGATTAAATTTACCACTCACAGAAACGAGAGTAACATTATAAATTCCGCTAACTGTTAAATTTAATTCACAGTTATTATTCGAAATAATATTGATAATTGACATTTTTTATTACGAATAAAAATATGGTAAAGCGTTATTTTCCAGTGATAAATAAAACTAGAATAAGATTACCTCAAGAATTCATAAATTCAACGAATAAGAAATTCATTCATGTTATAAATTTTAGTGTTTTCAGAAAATATGAGTCAGTGTCATATTCATCAACAGGTTATATTTCACTTCATTCAAATTTAGTTCAATCAAACCCATATAATGACCATTTCATAAGATTTTCAGATGGTATTAAAAATGTAATTGATAGATTAAAATATGAACAGATTGACAAAATCGAATTTTTGGAATTTTGGTTTAAATATCCCGATGGAAAAAAGATTGAAGTTAAAGATAAAGCTGATACTATAACAAAAACAATTACAATGACCGATCCGGATAGTGGGGAACAAAAAGAAATAAAACAAACGATAGAAACTGGTGAAAGGTCAATTATTATTGATTATGATTCAAAGGATTATTATTCGATAATGTTAATGCTTGAATATTAAATAGTCTTAACAAAGAATTTTTCAAGTGATATTTTATATTCATCAACTATTTTATTATAAATATCATTATATGTTAAATGAAGTTCAGTTGTTGTTCCGTTCTTTGATATCTTAATTGTGCTAATATCCTTTATAGGATTTATTTTTGCAACTGTTCCGCAGCATGAAACCTCATCATCTATGAAAAATTGAATCTTAACGTCTGAATCTTGAACATCACAAAGAATGGCGATAATGTGAATTAATGATTCATAAGGTAAAATAATTAAACCGGATTGGTCAATTAAATTTATTATTGAATCATAATTATTAATTATTATATCACGGTAAATTTTCATTAATTCAGAATTAATGTCTATTTTATATGGGTTCTCGATGTTTGATGAAAGAGGCGGGGGGTATGTTGGATAAGTGGGAATTTCAACAGGTTCTTTACCGGGTTCAGATAAAATGATTGGGTCTCCATTCTCATGGTTTTCTTCATTCTCCTCATTCTTCGGTAAGTCACGAGTTAATAAATTTGGTTGAGTTGCTGACCTTGTTAAGTCGGGCTAACATTAACTTTAACATTTTGAATAATTCGTGATTTATCATCATTTACGTTATAACCACCGTAATCTCTGCTTTTGCGTTAGTGTTCTTTTGACTAGTGAAACGTCTTCTCATTTATATTCGAATAAAAAAATATATTTAAACTTTTATTTTGCTGGAACTTTTGAATCTATTATTCCCTGTATTTGTTCATGAAGTTGATTTTTAGCTGTTTCATCGTAATTAATAGACCTAATATATTCATTAATTGCATTCTTATAATCATCTGATTTCTCAAATTTTCTTTTATCTGATTCCTTAACTAAATCATAAGTTAAACCTCGTTGCTGATATAATGGTTTCTTAATTAAATCTTTGAATACTTGAGATAAAGCACCGATGCAATTCTTGCTACTATAATTGGTTGGAATTGCTGTTTAAGTTCATCTTTAACATTTGCGAAAACTGGATCGAATAAAGCAACTTTAAAGAATTTCTTAGCTGAAATTTCAGGTCTAATATTTGCATATTGACCATCAAACTGGTTAGAATATCGTGGTAATCCATCCGGTCCCTCTTCAATAGCATTTAATTCTTCATTGAAATAAGAATATGGATTATAACGGTATGAATTAATTGGACCATTTTCACCTTCTCCAATGTATTGTTTAACAGCTTTTCCATTTTCATCAAATTGCATAGGATAACGTTCATTATATGCTTTACGTTTAGGATAATCAGATATAGTTAATTTATAACCATTTATGACTTTAATATTACCTTGACCATCAGTAACGAAAACTTCATTTATACCATCAGGTTTTCCATTTGGACCCGTAATGTCTGCTTCGTGTGCTTCCCAATTTGGACCATGACGTTTGGCATATGCTTGAGCTTCTGGTAATGTTAAAACGTTTCTCATTTGTTTAACATCTTTTTGAAGACCAGCAACAATATGAACTAATTCTTTCATTCCATCAGGAACTTTCATAGTTCTATTATATGCACCCTTTTTTGTTTGTTTTTTAATGGAACCTGTAGAAGATTTGCTATTTCTGTCATGTTTAATTATAAATAAAAAATAAAAATTAATTATAAAAAGTTAATCAAATTTAACACTTCCTTTATTTAAATCAACTATTATTTTTCCATGTTCACCTAATTGCTGATATTGTGTGTAAAGTTCATTAATGCTCATTGGTAAATTCACTTGATAAAGCATAACGTTCAACTGTTGACGACTAAACCACTGAAAATGAAAAGTGTTGATAGATTTGATTTAATGTTTGTGCTTAATGCTTTGAAGTATTGAACAGCCATAAAGAATGAACACTGAATGTGTCGACATTGAGTTAATAACTGATTAAAATATGATTTCTCATTTGTTATTAGTTTTGATTTCACTGCATCATCTAGAAAAATGAGTGAATGCAACAATTCTCTATCAAAATTTGAAATAGAAAGTGTTTCAAATAATTCATCCCGTTGTTTATCAATAATTTTATCCTCTAATCCTTGCTTCTTGATTGTATTGTATAATTCTTTATACATTAAAAAGTTTTTTAAATAATCTTCTGCTTCTTCTTGTGATAAATAAATAATTGGAATTTTGATTAAATGCTTTAAAGATTCAAATGTATCATCTGAAGGTGAACCTGAACGGTTGATATAAATTAACACATGTGAATAGGGGAAGTGTTAGCAATAATGATAATTTGTTTTAATATCGTTAATGTTTTACCTTTATTTTGTTTACCAATTGCTGCAGTGATTGAATTTAAGTAACATTCAGAATATGGAATTTTCATTAATTTTTCCTTAGATAGAGCATTTCTATTATCACTCAATGCTTCATTAATCATATCATCTACGTATGTATTATATACTCCTGCTAATTCTTCATAAGGGGTGGATGAATTTAAATCCATTTAATCAAAAATAAATTTATAATTTTAAACATTTCTATTCATCAATATTTCATCATATGAACTTCTATACTGCGGTGGTGTACCTGTTGGATGATATTTCAAACCTTCATCCGGTGTCCATGTCCAATATGTAGTCCTAGTAAACCAAACCTGAGGAGGATTTGTCACCTTTGAACAGTAAGTGTCATTTTCACCCTGAATGATTGGATAAGCTTTCACTTGTACTGTAACTTGTGAGTTGAAAGTTTCTAATCCATCAAAGAATATACCCGCTCCATCACGTTGAACTGGAATAGTGCATAAGAATGAAGTTTGGTCTTTCCATGTTCTAGCTAATGGCATGCCATCATCATCATTCAGTGGTCTAGTTAATGAGTCCTCGTATTCTTCCGTGCATTCATTCACTCCATCTAAATCAGAAGCTTGAAGCATACGTGTAAAGAATATGTCACCCACTGTGGTCATCGCTTGATCGGGGAAGTTTCTGGAATCTATAGTGACCTGAAGACCTCGAAGCATTGGATTTTCTAAAACCGTTCTTTGCATTGCATTCTTCGGAAATGCTAACACAACATCTGTAACATTATGAAGAGCGTATGAGAAATCTGAGCTAATACCTTCAGGAGTGATGCAACCTCCATTTAGTGAACGAACGTCAATATGTTGAGCTGGAATCATGAATGGATCTTCCTTACTGAATAAACGTGGTATTGCTTTAACTGATTCTTCAATTAAACCGTATCCTGGTGTAATGCATTTATCCTCTAAAACTTCCATCTTTGTGCATGAAATAATAACGCCATCAACTATTGCGTCAGCAGATGTGGCGGCTAAGCTTGTAATTAATTTGGCAGGAAGTCCGATTTGTTGGAATTTGCGATCATATTTATAAACATGATTCATAATCTTTTCATAATTTTCATCAGTTATCTTTTCATAAACGTAATTTTGTAAATCAGCAACTCTTAACGGGTCAACCTGACAAAATACTAAAGTATCCCTGAAAACATAATATTTAAGAATGATATCACCAAATGATTTAGGATAATCATCGAACGCCTGAAATGCTAACAAATCATTTACCGGAATAATCATATCAAAAGTGACATCAACTTCTTCATTTGCTTTCTTGAAAACTTCTGAAGGGTCAATATATTTACCACATACTGAGTTATCATATTTTTGAACATTATTATATAACGAATGAACAAACTTTTTAACTTTCCTTTCTGATTTTGGTTTATATGTTGCAAATGCAAAAGATTCACGGGCGCAATCCATCTGAAGATAACCGGCATCACCTCTT